CTGCCCCCTCATATACACCATTCAACTCTTTTAAGCAATACTGAAATTATAAAACACCATAGTGAAGAAGATGGGAGGAGGGTCATCAGTGAACGAGGGTTTTCAAGAAAATGGAAGAAGACAGGAGAGAGACAGTAGAACAATGACTGACAAGCATGGAGCAGACAAGCCCAGAATAAAAATACCACAAGAATGTTGGGGCTGATAAGGAGTGGGTCTGACAGGCAGAACCTGGCAGGAGCTCAGGATCTGAAATGGCAGGCACCACAGAGAGCAGAGTGACAAATGGTGCTAAAAGTGGGAACTGCTGACAGAATCACTGACAACGGGCCCTGCCTTCCCCAGCCTCTAGTCACTGCCTGGCCTAAGATCGTGGAGCCAAGGCCTAAAAAGGGAGGCCCATCTTCAAAGACATTGGCTCCTGTGAAAATGCAACAAGCAGTATATTGGAGATTTTTCAAGCTACCCTTGGTGCTGTGTTTCGATCGTAATTGGGAAGCCAACTGGAAAGGGGGGGGGGGGGCTCCTGACCTTCAAAAACTACAAGTGATGTGCCAGAGTCTTTAACCACACAGGCAGCCCTCACTGTAAGGTGAACCAAGGAATGAGAGGTGCCCTGGCTATCTAGGCTGCTGACACAAGGCTGCCCTGTACAAAGCAGGAAGACACCGTCAGTGGGAGTGGCACATCCCAGTAGATGCCCCCGGTCACCATAGCGCAAACCAGCAGGCCACACTCACTCCACCAGAGTCTCCACACCAACTAACCCCACCACCTCCAGCCCATCAGCCTCACCCTGAGATCCCACTTTCTTCAAGCAGAATAGAGCTTTCCCATCTTTAAACTTTAAAAGCCCCATCTGTTTGCTTCTCCAGAGCCTTATCCCAGAGCATATTGGATTCTGCACTGGAGCAGGTTCCCTGCTTGGCCATACTTTTCTGTTTGCATTTGATTTCTGGTCTCTAATAATTTTTCTTTTATAACATGCTGAAAGTCTTGGAAACCCTGGAATGTGGTAGGTGATTAAGCTCCCACTTCACTCCCACGAGTGAGAAAGGCATGAGATAAATTATGTGTGTGTACTTCTAGACAAGACAACGTGTTTGAAGTCTTCCATCATCAGAGTTTGTTAAACAGGATGCTATGGGGTCTTAGAGCAGTGTGTGCACACATGTGCATGGGTTTTCATAACCGTAAAAGAATCTTTCTCCAACAGTCTTTTATAGGGGAGCCCAATACATAGAACTGACTACAGGAAGCTGACACGGGAGAGCAGGGGAGGGGAATCAAGGCCCCATCAGCTCAGATCACTGCCTTTTTCCTTTCTTGTGGCCCAAGTAATGTTCTTAAACGACATTTCCAGGGAGCACAGTTATCAAACCCGACTCAGAACAGCTAAATGAACTATAAGAAAAAAGGAGGTATTTAAAACTATATAAAATACACAAAATTTAAAATATGAGCAGTGGGACTTTCCTGGCGGTCCAATAGTTAAGAATCCACCTGCCAGTGCAGAGGACAGAGGTTCTATCCCTGGTCCGGGAAGATCCCACATGCTGCAGAGCAACTGAGCCCATGAGCCACAACTACTGGGCCTGCACTCCAGAGCCCACGCCCCACAACAAGAGAAACTGCGGCAACAAGAAGCCCCAGCACCACAACTAGAGGGTAGAGCCTGCTCGCTGCAACTAGAGAAAGCCCATGTGCAGCAATGAAGAGCCAATGCAGCCAAAAATAAATGAATATTTTTAAAATAAGTAAATAAAATAGAGCAGTTGTCCTTACCTGCACACTTGTAAACACTGACCAATAAAATCACAGGTAGTTTCAGCGGCAGAATCCAGCAATCTTCATCATCATGATCACCACCATTGTTGTCAGCCTCATCTACATTTAATAAGTTAAAGATAAGCCATGCCTAAGTGATTGATATATACGCAATCATTCAATCCAAACCACAAAACCATGAGACCAGTATTATCCACATTGTAAAGAATTTGACCAAGGCCCCATAGCTAGTGGGTGACAAGCACCAAGATGCAAACCCAGGTCTGCTGGATTCTCCTCATATGCTCTGATCATTGTGTTCCACTAGCACCCATAAAAGCCACTTGTGTCCTTCTTTATGTATTTTATGAATTTGTTTGTATTAACTACTGTCATAAGAAGAACTAAGAGTAGGGGAGAGCCAATTCCTCAAGTCCTAGAGAGACAGATTAGGCAGAGATGCCCTGGGTGAGTCATCTAGCCCAAATGTCACAAAGAAAGGGCTCAGAGGAAATTTCTCACCCCAAGGGGACTCAGTGCTCCTAAAACAGTCAGATCTATCCATCTTTCTTCAGTTTCTTCCCTTCCTATTCATCAGAAAAGCTTATTCATTTTGACATTACCACACACTCTCATATAACTATATTAAGAAGGGGGAGCGAAGGAATTAATTAAAGAATTAAATGTAAAAGATTAAAATACCTAATCTACCAAAACAGACTAGGTCTAAAATCAATGAGTCAGCAGACACCAGCACACACACACACACACACACACACACACACACACACACACACTATTATAGGGGGGCTTTCCTGGTGGCTCAGAAGGTGAAGAATCCACCTGCAATGCAGGAGACTCGGGTTTGATCCCTGGGTTGGAAAGATCCCCTGGAAAAGGGAATGGCTACCCTCTCCAATATTCTTTCCTAGAGAATTCCATGGACAGAGGAGTGTGGCAGGCTACAGTCCATGGGGTCACAAAGAGACACGACTGAGCGATTTTCACTTTCATACTAATATATTAGTATATATACTATGGACTTCCCTGGTGGCTCAATGGTAAAGAATATGTCTCCCAAGAAGGAGATGCAAGTTCAACTCCTGGGTTGGGAAGATCCTCTAGAGAAGGAAATGGAAATCCACTCCAGTATTTTTGTCTAGGAAATCCCACGGACAGAAGAGCCTGGCAGGCTACAGTCCATGGGGTCACAAGAGAGTTAGACACAACTTAGCAACTAAAACAACATTATTAAGGAATTTGAGGGAAAATATTAGTAGAAACAGATCCAATTATTTACAATTGTTCTCTGGGGAAGTTCTAATAGAGACTAAGGGGTGGCTGCTTAAGAGACTGCTGCCGTTTTATAAGCATTTTAATACCATTTGGTTTTTCAAATCAAGTGCCAATATTCCTTTGATCTGTGAAAAATGATGAAACAAAAATAATAAAACCTACCCTCCTAAGTGGCCTCCTTTAGCTTAATGGCCTCCAGAAAGGAGTTCAAACAGAGATAGTACAATTTGATGTGGTTGATGGAGCCATGAGATCTGAGCCGCTGCAGATGGGAGGTGCCTGCTGTTGAGTCAAGAGCCCTGGATCTTGAAACAGAAGACCTGGGTTCCAGTCTTGGCCTTGGTGCTCCAAGCTCTATGGCCTTAGGCAAGGTACATCACCTCTCTGAGCTTCTTTATCCCGTAAGGGCAGTCATCCACACCTGATACAACCAAGAGGATTAAATGCCATAAATCCCAATCCAGTGATGCAAACTAACCTCACGGTAAGAAGACAATGAGTGGGGACCTGAAAGTCTGGGCCAGGGAGGTGAGAGCCATGGAAAGATAGACTTGAATAAGAGATACAGGCTTCTTGCCCATGAACCAGGGACTGAACTGAAATTTCCTCTCCCCTCCATGCTGTTCCCCAGTTCTCTGATACCATGTAGTATATTTTAAGGTTCTACAGACTCAAAAGAGAGGCAGATAACCCAAGTGTCAATCTGCATCTCCCTGGATGAGGCTTACACAGACCTTGAACCCATCTGATCCTGGCCTGAGCCCTCTTGAACAAAGTCCCTCCTTGATTCTTCCTTAAAAAAAAAACTCCAAATTATTTAACCTTAGGATCAAACCTTAGGCCCCAAAGAGGAACTTCCAACCCTTTCTCCATTATCAGTATATCACACTTTATGAGAGGCCTGGTCATTGCTGTCATTTTAGGACAAGCGGATCCAGGCTTCCCAGGAATGAGCCCAATGTGCAGCCATTTTTTCCAGGTTCTGAGCATTTAGAACCACTCATAGCTTAAGAGCCAGCTGCCAACTGCCTGGTTGCCGAGGGCTCCCTTTCTGCCCCCTCTGCCCCACCTCTCCCTGGACTCAGAGCCTGCACTGGTTTGGGAATGAAACAGGTCTGGCCGTCCATGCTTTCCTAGGAATGCCATAGAACCTTGTCCTTTCCCTCCATCTGCCTCTGTTTTGAGTCGGTAGAACCCTAAAATACACTCCATGGTATCAGAGAACTGGGGAAGAGCATGAAGGGGAGGGGAAATTTCAGTTCAGTGCCTGGTTCATGGGCAAGACTCATGACGAGACTCATACCCCATCAGACAACACTGTTGTTACTGGTATGTTGTGATGTGAAGAGGTAGAAAGATGCTCTGTGAAGCAGCCCTGTGTAGAGAGGCCCCAAAACAAGACTCCAGATCAGGCCTGAAGCACCCCTACCAGGATGAGGAAGCAACAAGAGAGTTAGGCTGAAATATCCCCAGAGGTCACAAGAAACATGACCTGCTCTCTGCATAGACAGCACGTGGGGTGAACAAACAGACCTGCAGATTCAAGCCCCCCAAAATGAAGTTTATTCTTGGGCACTTCATTCTTGGCAAGGGATGATCATGATGTCAATTTATACAATGATTAAACTAGTAAAATACATCTGGATGGGAAGGAAACCTCAGAGACCAGCTTTGATTCCATGAGCACAAGGTAAAGGGCCCAAGAAGGGGAGACAGAAGAGGGAGGGTTAGGGGACTAATTAGCCAGGGATTAAATGTCATTTTCCTTGAGTCAAGTGATTCTCATTTTATTCAAGTGTCCAGGAAACGACGACGAAATCTTTTTTTTTTTTCTTTTTTGGGGAATTCCTTTTTTTTTTTCATTTTTGGTCCAATGAATAGCTCAACCATATGATTTTATAAGTATTGTGCAATTTCTAAATTACAACCTTTAAAAATCAGGCTGACACTGTCAACTCCTGCTGGTTGGGATTTTCTGAATCACCTACAGAAAAACGGCTGCTCCGCCGAGAGCCTGTCTGAGAAATGGGCCGGTATATCCTGTGCCCCAAAGCATCTATTTCCTCAAAGATGTAGCCAGGAGGCTCAGGGTATGAAGCCAGGCATCTGCTCATTTCCTTAGGAGTAAAGCTGATGGTATATGTGGTCTGGCCCTCCACAGGGATATTTCCTCGGGGCCCAGACCAGAGGGGCTTGCAGCTTTTGGTCATCATGGGCAGGTGGGGCACATAGTGGGCTCGTGTGGTGGTCAGGCAGTCCAAGGGCTCAGAGGGAAGGTTCAACTGGGGGATGGGCTTGACCGGCTCTGTCCGCATGCTGGCCCACTGCTTGTAGTCCTCTTTGGTCGTGGTGGAGCCTTCAAAGCGGCCACCCTTCTTGACCGAGGGTGCGGGTCGGCAGGACTCAGCCGGGGCGCCCTTAGGGAACGTGTAGTGGGCCTGCACTGTTGTCAAAAGGTCCATCTTCTCTTCAGGAGGGACATACATGGCAGGAGGTTTGGAGAACACCTGGGGCGCTGGCCAGGCTTGGTACTTATCTTGAAACTCAGTGGTGTTGGAGAAGGGCAAGAGCCCGCAAGGCCTGGCAGGAGGTTTCAAGCTCTTGGCTGGCTCCCCCATCAGACCCCGGTATGACTCCTTGTGGGTGGTGAGGCTTTCAAAGGGGATTTCACAGGGTCTGAACTTCTCTGGCTCATGCACAAAGCGCTTCTCCAAGGGGTGGGCCACGTAGCTCATCTTGTAGTTTGTCAGATCCTCCAGGGGGATGTTACAGAGCTTGGGCACAGCTGGAGGCTTACAGCTCCTGGTGTTCACCAGGCCCTTCATGGAATAGTCGTCCTGCTGTGTAGTGCGATTATCAAACTTGGTTGATGCTGGCCGGTAGTGGTGAGGAGGACGAAGCAACTCTCGTCTTGGTTGGTTCCAGGGTAAATAGTCAGCTGCAAATAAAGAAGAAGTGGTGATTATTCATAAATCCAATCACTCAACCTGCATGTATTCCCAAAAGCCCCAAAGCCACAAGCCAGTCTTCAGGGAGATGTTACAGGAGAAGAGGAAAACCAGACTAGATCCCTGCCACCACCTCAACCAAGGGCTTGATGTTTCAACTTTGTGGTATTTGCAGGTTATTGTGCAGCAGAAGCCTTCCCAGGTGGTGCTAGTGGTAAAGAACCTGTCTGCCAATGCAGGAGATGTAAGAGATGCAGGTTCAATCCCTGGGTCAGGAAGGTCTCCTGGAGGAGGGCACGGCAGCCCACTCCAGTTTTATTGCCTGGAGAATCCCCATGGACAGAGGAGCCTGGTGGGCTACAGTCCATGAGATCACAAAGAGTCGGATACAACTGAAGTGACTTAGTACACACACACACATGCAGAAGAGACTAATTTATAGGAGTCTCATCACACCCACAATGCTGCATGTGGGGATTTTAGAGGGTCCATGGCCATGAGTGGACCCACGGAATGGATTCCAACAGAGGAGTCCAACTGCTGCTGCTACTAAGTCACTTCAGTCATGTCCGACTCTGTGCGACCCCATGGACTGTAGCCTACCAGGCTCCTCCGTCCACGAGATTTTCCAGGCAAGAGTACTGGAGTGGGGTGCCATTGCCTTCGCTGGTCCAACTACTGCTTTTCCCTTATCCAAGAACAGCTCCATTCCTCTAAGGGAAGGTGCCCTCTGTGAATTAGCAAAGAGTGACTGGGAAGGTACATGCAGAGCAGTGAGACCAAGGATTCGCAACCCAGCCCTGCTGGGCCACCAGCCAGACCTACCAGGCCTCCCTTGGTCATCCATGGGGTAATCGCCATTATGTTCCTATCATCACACATACAATCCACATACATCAAATATGGCACTCCAAGGGAATAAGGGGGACTATGTTGGCTAACCAACTCTGAATCCACAGGGAATTCTCTTGTCTACAACTTTACAAAAAGAACAAAAGCAGTCTTTGAGGTATATAGCCAATACCAGTGGAGTCCACAGGCACACTTTTTAAACAGCTTTCTTGAGGTATCATTTGTATAAATATAAAATGCATCATCTTACACACATAATTTAATAACTTTTACAGAGTTGTACAACAATCTATAATCAAAATCTAGTTATGCTGAATCACCTTGCTGTACCACATAAATTAACAAAACATTGTAAATCAACTATACTTCAATAAAAAAAAATTTTTTTAATCTAGTTATAGAACATTTCCATCACACCCCTAAAAATTTAATCAAGCCAATTTGCAATCTTCATTCTCATCCCTGGGCAATAATTAATCATTTCTTGGTCACTATAAATGTGCCTTTTCTGGACATTTTCTATAAATAGAATTGCACAATATATAGTGTTTTGTATTGGCTTCATCCACTAAGCATAATGTAAAGGAGGCTCATCCCTGTCACAGCATGTATCAGTCCACTCCCTTTTATTGTTGAATAGTACTAGGGTAAATTTTGTTTATCCATTCATCATTTGATGGGCATTTGGATTGTTTTCATCATTTGGTTATTATGAAAATTTCTGCTAGGAACATTTATAGACAAGTGTTTGTAAGGATGTATCTTTTCATTTTTCTTAGGTAGATACCAAGAAGCAAAATTGATAAGTTATATGTTTAATTTATGTTTAACTTTTCAACATACCGCAAACTTTTCCAAAGTGGTGTGCCACTTCACGTTCCTACCAGCAATGTATGAAAGTCCTCATTTCTCCACATCTTCAACACTTGTTATTACAATTTGTTTTTTAATTATAGGCATTCTATAGTGGGTGTTTAATGGTATCTTACTGTATTTTAATTTACATTTCCCTAATGATGAAAGTGAAAGAGGAGAGTGAAAAAGTTGGCTTAAAGCTCAACATTCAGAAAACTAAGATCATGGCATCTGGTCCCATCACTTTATGGGAAATAGATGGGGAAACAGTGGAAACAGTGTCAGACTTTATTTTTTTGGGTTCCAAAATCACAGCAGATGGTGATTGCAGCCATGAAATTAAAAGACGCTTACTCCTTGGAAGGAAAGTTATGACCAACCTAGACAACATATTAAAAAGCAGAGACATTACTTTGCCAACAAAGGTCCGTCTGGTCAAGGCTATGGTTTTTCCAGTGGTCATGTATGGATGTGAGAGTTGGACTGTGAAGAAAGCTGAGTGCCGAAAAATGGATGCTTTTGAACTGTGGTGTTGGAGAAGACTCTTGAGAATCCCTTGGACTGCAAGGAGATCCAACCAGTCCATCCTAAAGGAGATCAGTCCTGGGTGTTCATTAGAAGGACTGATGCTGAAGCTGAAACTCCAATACTTTGGCCACCTCATGCGAAGAGTTGACTCATTAGAAAAGACCCTGATGCTGGGAGGGATTGGGGGCAGGAGGAGAAGGGGATGACAGAGGATGAGATGGCTGGATGGCATCACCGACTCAATGGACATGAGTTTGAGTAAACTCCGGGAGTTGGTGATGCACAGAGAGGCCTGGCGTGCTGCGATTCATGGGGTCGCAAAGAGTCGGACACGACTGAGCAACTGAACTGAACTGAACTGCACCTTAAACTGCATTGAATCTTCAATCTACAAACATGGATTCTCACTATCTATTTTGATATTATTTTTCATTCTACAAGGCTACCATCACCCTGATAACCAGATAACCAAAACCAGACAAAGTTATTACCAAAAAAGGAAATTACAGGCCAATATCACTGATAAACATAGATGCTAAAATCCTCAACAAAATACTAGCAAACAGACTCCAACAACACATTAAAAGGATCATACACCATTGTCAAGTGAGGTTTATCCCAGGGATGCAATGCATATACTGATTCTTCAGTATATGAAAACCAATCAATGTGATACACCACATTAACAAACTAAAGGATAAAAACCATATGATAATCTCAATTGATGTAGAAAAAAATTTCAACAAAATTAAAGCAATTTATGATTTAAAAAAACCTTCCAGAAAGTAGGCATGGGGGAACCTATCTCAACATAATAAAGGCCAGATACAACAAACCCACAGCAAACATTATTCTCAATTTTTGAAAAACTGAAAGCATTTCTTTAACATCAGGAACAAGATGAGGGTGCCCACTCTCACCACTATTATTCAACATAGTTTTGGAAATTCTATCCACAGCAATCAAAGAAAAAGAAATAAAGGGAATCCAAATTGGAAAAGAAGAGGTAAAACTCTCACTCTTTGCAGATGACATGATACTATACATAGAAAATCCTAAAGATGCCACCAGAAAACTACTAGATCTATCTCAATAAAGAATTTGTTAAAGTCACAAAACAAAAAATTACTACTCAGAAATGTCTTGCATACTTATACACTAACAACAAAAAAATCAGAAAGAGAAGTTAAGGAAACAATCCCATTTACCATTGCAACAAAAAGAGTAAAATACCTAGGAATAAACCTACCTAAGACAAAACAGGTGTACACAGAAAACTATAAGACGCTGATGAGAGAAATCAAAGATGACACAAATGAATGGAGAGATACACCACGTTCTTAGACTGGAAAAGTCAATATTGTGAAAATGACTATACTACCCAAAGCAATTTACAGATTCAATGCAATCCCTATCAAAATTACCAGTGGTATTTTTCACAGAGCTGGAACAAAAAATTTTATAATTTGTATGGAAACACAAAAGACCTCAAACAGCCAAAGCAATCTTGAGAAAGAAAAATGGAGCTGGAGGAATCAGCCTCCCTAACTTCAGACTGTGGTTACTGCTTGGTTTCTAGGTCGTATCCAAATCTTTGTGATCCCGTGGACTGTAACCCACAAGGCTTTTCTGTCCATGGGATTTTCCAGGCAAGAATACTGCAGTGGGTTGCCATGCCCTCCTCCAGGGGATCTTCCCAACCCAGGGATCGAACTCATGCTTCGTATGTCTCCTGCATTGGCAGGAGGGTTCTTTACCAATAGAGCCACTAGGAAGCCTTCAGACTATACTACAAAGCTAGAGTAATCACTATAGTATTGTACTGGCAGTTTTTTCTTTTTAATTTATCTTACTTTTGGGCCTAGATTCCTAAGAGCTACCCTCTATCACAGCATAGTTTAGTAATCAGCCTCTGATTAACCAGAAGTTATACATAAGCACCCTCCTCCTGGTGGCTCAGATGGTAAAGAATCCACCTGCAACGTGGGAGACCTGAGTTCAATCCCTGGGTTGGAAAGATCCCCTGGAGGAGGGCACGGCAACCCACTCTGGTATTCTTGCCCAGAGAATTCCCATGGACAGCGGAGCCTGGTGGGCTACAGTCCATGAGATCACAGACCTGGACACTAATGAGCAACTAAGCACACATACTTAGGCACCTTAAGCCACTAAGGTTTTCACCATTTGCTAATGAATCTGTGTATGAGTTGGAGAATACAGTCAAAGATCGTACAGTTTACAACTTTTCCCCAGCTTTTATTTTCTACCAGGCTGTCTCATATCTCCTCTGCATATGCACCAGGCATCATATTCAGCCAGGAAAGACGAGTAAATAACTAGACGCTTTCTCTGATCTGTTGAGCCTGCACACTGCCTTGCCCATATGCACAGTCTTTAAGACCATCAGGAATATGTATGAGCTTATCAAGGCCCACTTCTGAGTCTGTCTCATTCTCTGAGTCTCTCTGGTCAATTTCTCACTGATCTGCTGGTCTGTTGCTTGTTTCAAGTAGTACTGCAACCTCAAACTAACCGCAGAAACTGTCTTCCCTAATTTTTTTGCCATTAATGTCACTATTGTTTTTACTGAATTGCCTGAGTGTGCACTTTTCTCCAATCAGCCCTCACTGGCAGCAAAGTTTCTGGTTTTCGCAGCCTAGCCTGCCCAAGCAGAACTACCACACAGATGGAACTTGAGGGAGGGGTGATGGAAGCAGCCCCAGGATAAACCACCACACACTCCCACTGTTCATAA